CTTGAAATTCGAACTTCATTGCCATTTTCATCAAACAACAAAAGTTTTTCCATGAAAAAACATGTTATCAAACGGACCCTAAAAAGTATCATAAATATTATAAACTTACCAAACTTATATATCTATTTTAAGATGAGGGATCATAATTTATGTGGATAGACTTTCTTTTATTTTCTTATTCTAGTTTATTACCTTGTTTACTAAAACTTCAACTATAAATAGTACTAAGTTTTTCATTTTAAGCCAACTTTTGATAATTGAAACACAATTCTTTTTTCCCTTAAGTCTATATCTTTCTCTTTCTATTCTGTGTCTCACCCCTTCTATCTTTTACACCTCCTCTTCCTTTGTCTTTTCTTCTATAAATCTAACTCTAGTTTGATTGCATCCGAGGTCAATTTGGTATCAAAGTCTACTCATTTCTCTAATCAAAAATTTCATCACGTATTCAAATTTACGAACTTCTTCGACATATATAGTTATTGTTCATGCCGGTACTTTTTTCCAATGAAATTGTGCTACTTGATATCGAGCTCATGGTGCATCCCAACAAGGTTGGTCCCCACCAGTAAGCTCCATGATCTTATAGATCCAAATCTTAATAAAAATTAATATATAATACATGAAGTTTACAGGTTAAAATGGCCAAATAAACAAGACTCAAAAAAATCTACAATTACATCGGCCATGCATATTTTTTGAATACATACTGCAAGAGCACTATTTTTGTTTCCCACCATGCTGATGTGTCTGATTAGTGTTGGAAATACAAGATATATGTATAGATGTGGATTGAAAAAGTCTCCAATTTGTGCGATGACTAATCACAACTCTTCAATTCCAAATGTTGCAAATCAAAAAAACGTGTTGTTTCCTAATATGTGACTATTCAAAAAGGTCTATGATGAAATGTTATTACCTTTTCATACGGCATAAATTGTAATCTACACCATTAAATATGAAATGGTGTGATCTAACGGTTAAAACTAATTGTGCCAAAAAGACGTAACCATTCAACAAGCCATGTGAAAATCTATAAATAAAGACCTTTAGTTCCATTTTTTCCTTCTCGAAATCAATTGAAGTCTTTCCTTCTCTAAATTATGTCAAAATAATTTCCATATTATTTTTGAATTTCGTGTTCAATATCTTC